CATCCCTTGATCCGATCATTCATCAAGGATGCTACCAACACCAAGCCTCCTGTAGTCCACAGATATCCCTCCTGGGAATTACCGAGGGTATTGTGGGCTCCTACCAATCTGCCCTTTGAACCCCTCCAAACATGTGAGTTGAGATTCTTATCACTCAAGGTAGCCTTTTTGGTGGCTATCACCTCCGCACGGCGGATTTCCGAACTAGCTGCTCTCTCCACTAGAGATGATTTGTGTATCTTTCACCATGACCGAGTGGTCCTTCGTCTTGATCCAACCTTTGTTCCAAAGGTAAATTCCTTATTTCACAGGACTCAAGAAATTGTGTTACCAGATTTCTGTCCTAATCCCTCACATGATCTGGAACGGCAGTGGCATCTGTTGGATGGCCGCAGAGCACTTCGTTATTATATCTCACGGACAGCTGTCTTCCGCTCTACCGAAGCCCTTTTTGTTTCATATCATCCTCCTTCCAGGGGTAGGAAAGTGTTGTCCTCCACGGTTGGCAGGTGGATCAGGGCTTGTATTGCGGAGGCGTATAGGGTGGATTCAGTACCAGTTCCAGTTTCACGGCCCATTCCACCCGTAGTATGGCTACTTCTGCAGCCTAGGCTACTCAAGTGTCCATTGAAGATGTTTGCAGAGCGGCCACATGGTCCTCTCCGTCACCCTTCATTAGGCGTTACAAAATTGACAGGTTCGCCTCGGCGGAGGCGTCCTTTGGCAGGAGGGTTCTGCAACAGGTACTATCACAAAGTGGCTCGCTGGGCCGGTCTGATTCCCTCCCTTAGGGACAATTTAGCTTTGGTATGTCCCATTGGTGGATTCTCCATCTCCAGTGCTGGAGAAGGGGCGTTGTCTTACCTGAACGCCTTTTCTCAGCACGGAGATGGAGAATCCACTCCCACCCTAGTAGGTTATTAGGCCTAGCTTTACATTTATGAGCCAACACGTCTTGCTGTCAGTCATGGCTTCGCCTTCGTCAAGACTGGGACTTTCTGTCCCAGGAGAGGCGTGGCAACTTTGGCTGACTTGATCTGATTGGGCAGGAACACAGTCTAAACCCATTGGTGGATTCTCCATCTCCGTGCTGAGAAAAGGCGTTCAGGTAAGACAACGCCCCATCTGTCCAGAAGTCATGACTGAACTTCTCAGACTTCCTTGTTTCTGATGAGGTTACTCTGTAAAAATTACAGGAAAAGGTTTAGCATCTTAACAAGAGCCATTTGAAATTCTATCACTAATAACATAGGCAATATTTTCCCTTCCCCTCCTGCTGCAACATGTGGCTTATGACCAAAGAGCAAGTTCAGCCACAATATTGGCAAAATAATTTCCCCCATCTTTCCACATATGGTTAGGAATTTTGTAGTCAGGTTTTCCTGTCCACAGAAGATGAGCAGTTTGTAAAATACAAAAAGTACAAATAGGCATTAAACATATATAAAACAATCAAAAAATTAAAACTCAAATATTTGATATATAAGCAGCAGACAAGGGAACCGAAGCCAAAAGGAATGTGGCTTTTTTTCAGCCCATTGCTCTTTAGATATATTAAAAGCAACTCTTCATCGTTACAGTCAGCTTTTAGACACGAATAAATCTGGAATGCTATGACTACTGAAGGATCATGGCGGGTCCAACAGAGATGCAACAAGTATATTAAATAATAGATGCGGCTGCTTGGGGCAGAGATATTTTTAAGCTGCTGCCGAACTTGAAAATACCCAAAACTTTAATTACCCATAGTTAAATTTAATTTCCAGATCATCTGGCATAGAACAGGCTTACACATCAAGCTAAAAAATAATGTGATTTCCTTTGTTTTGGCTTTCTGTGTTGGGAGGTCAGGCAATTTTGATTAACTCATCAAATCTTGATTAAGCAAACTGGCTTAGCATAGTGTGTGAACCCAGTAAGAACCTCCATTGAGAACTTCACTGTATCTTTGACAGCAGTGACTTTTCTGTAACAGATGTGAGATCTAGTAACTTCTAGGGGTGTCATAGCACCCGGTTTGGTAATGTTCAGTACTATGCAAGTTACATAGTATCTGAATACTTACTTGCCCAGTTTGTAGATTAGGCTGAGTTGAAGAAGTAGCTAAAGGAATCTAGCTCAGAGCCAGGAGACCATTTTCCAGAGCAGATGGGCAGACCTGGGACTGATATTTCAGCATTAGTGAGCAGTTATGATTCCTGTCTGGCTGCTGCATGACTTTTTTCCCATCATAGGACTTCTGATACTACATGCACACATGCAACACACAAAAAGCTAGGTCAATTCCTTTTCTATTTTTGCATTTTCATTTATAATGCAGTTTTAGCCATTGAATCTGTATATAAGACATTGAGCCTGGTGAATCTCTACAGAAACGATAATACTTATATGGGCTAGCAGTAGTTTGCAAAGCTCATGGGGACAAACAAGTCATCTCAGAGTAAAATGTAAAAAATACAAACTTTCCAGATGTTGCAGCTATTTTGACATTTCAAGAAATGGTAATATATGGATTTATGCATATACAATAGCTGCTGCTTTTCACTGGTAAGCCAATTGTTTGTGGATACACAAATGTGCATAGGCAACCCAAAATAGCCTTCCAAAGGATTGCATTGTTTTCACATTTGCAAAGCATGTCCTTTAAATATTTTACACAAACCATAATAAGTAATGGTTTGAGTTATCTATTTTGGTGCAATATATATATTTTCCACTTCAACTTGCTTCTTCTCATTCTTTTCAGCCAAGATTTTATTGCAATTGAATCAACCCCTAGGTTAAAGTTATAGTCTCTTATTCACTGAGCCACACAATCTTAATGGAAAAGTTAAACATCCACTTTGGTCTTCATAGGTTTTAATGCCTATTGTCTTTTATATATACAAAGCTACAGTGGGAGGGTACTTTAGTATAAACCTCTTTGTTATATCTTAGTCAGAAGCTGTGTCTTTTGGATTTCCTGAGTTCACATGTGCTTGAACACAATGGCAGGAAGTTCTCCTAACCATGCACATTGTACCTGGAAGATGAATAGCATTTCTATCCAGTCTTATTCATAAGTTGAATGAGAAACAATCAGGAAACAAATATTTCTTTTTTCATTGTAGTTTTTCCTCTTTATTTTTGATTTAAAAAAAACCAAAAAAAAAAAAAAACCCCCTCTGTCTGCTTTTCAGATGATCATTTCTCTCTTCTGTAAAGCTAGGGCCAAAGCTGAGCATTCTTGCTTTCTGCTGAACTTAATGAGAAAAGGGTAAACTAGGAGGTGTGTGATGGAACCATGTGGTAGGTTGAAATCTGCAACTTCTCCAGGATGGAAAGAAATAATTTCAGCTACAAAATGGGGAAATTTCACTTTGCCCTTGCTGTTTTTTTCCCCTGGCTGGTAACATTTGTTTTGCTGTATTTGCTATAAGATTGGAACAGACATGAATTTGAAGAGATCTGACCCTTAAATTTTCTATAATAAGTCCTTGACTTACAACCACTTGTTTAGCAAATGTTCAAAGTTACACTGGCACTGAAAAAAGTGATTTACATCTGTCATAGCATCCCAGTGGTCATGTGATCAGAATTTGAGCACTTGGCAACTGGCATGTTTTTACACCAGTTGCAGTATCCAAAGGTCATTTGATTGCCATTTGTGATCTTCCCAGCAGGCTTCCAACCAGCAAGGTCATTGGGGAAAGCTGACTTTGTTTAACAACTGCATGATTCATTGAACAGTTATAGTGATTCGCTCAACATTCATGACAAAAAAGAGGTCATAAAATTAGGTACTTAACAACTACCTTACTTAGCAATGGAAATTCTGGTCTCAATTGTGGTTGTTGAGAACTACCTGCATATACTTCTTCATTAATCAGCTGTGATGCTGATTTGTATAAAAGCTTTATCGGTGTTTGATAGAAAGTCTGAACAGGGCAACTACATAACGGAGTAGGTACCCCGTTCAAACTTTCTTGGAATACTTGAGTGCTCCTGTATACAGATGCAGAGCTTTCGCTAAAGGCATGGAGATCAGAAGTCGATGCTGGGAGTAGGGTCAGTAAATATGTCCAACTGGTCCTTCCACTAGTTTATGCATTGAGCAAAAATGCCCTTTTCTTTGTACACAATCATTGTCCCAAGCAACAAAACCTGTATGGCACAAACTGTACAAACTGTACATCTTGTTGCAACAAGATGTACAATTGAGACATGAAAAGTCTACCTTGTGTTTCACACACCACTGCAAGAATTCTGTCCATGTCAGCATGCTTGCTCTTTTATAAAACAGCTAACTTGAGCAAAATATTGGATATTTTTTTAATGTGTCAATGCAATGCATGTAATCATCATTTACCGACCACAATTAGGATCAGCAACTCTGTTGCTAAGCACCACATTTCTAAGCAAAATGTCATGTGTCCATGCCAATTTAACAACATCATTTCTGGTTCTGGTCGTTAAGCATGATATCGCATAACTGCCACTTATAACTTCCTGCCAGCTTCTCAGTAGCTTTGCTTCTCGGAAGTTGACTATGAAGGTTTGCAAATGGAAATCATGTGACTGTGGGACATTACAACTTGTCATAAATGCATGCTGCTTGCCAACTACCCGAATTGTGATCAGGTGACCAAAGGGAGACCAGGATCTCCATAGCTTTGAGAACTAGATGTAAATCCCTTTTTCAGTTACTGTTGTAACTTTTAATGGTTGCTGAACAAATGGTTGGTAAATGAGGACTACCTGTATACTATCTTGGGTACTGGATTTTTGGTTAGGGACTAGAGACCAGGTTTCAAGTCCGCAGTTGATCAAAAAGCTGTCTGGATGACTTTGAACTAGAGTAACCCACGGGATTGTTGTTTTGTGATTAAAATGAGGGAAGATCACCATGTATGCATTGGAGCTTCCAGAAGAAACACAGGATATAGATACCATAAATAAATAAATAAAAATATTCTAATTGAGTTAACAAAATAAGTAACTTGATCAATTCTTCTCTGTAGAGTCAACTTCAGTGGGAAAAGAAAAACATCGGTGGGAAACAATATTATAGCAATTTGGGCACAAGGAATCCACCTTACCCACTTCCTGGTATGGCCACCTTTGTGACTTCTAACCAACCTGACCTACAGGTGACCATCAAAGAAGAAAGCTGCCCTTTGCCTTATAGCAGCTCATGGCCTTCTTTTCCAGATCACCCTCTCCAACAAATAGTTTGCTCAGCTTCTACCAGCTATAGTAGCAGGCCTCCAGATCATGAAAATCGGGCAAGTGTCATCAAGAAAACCTCAGATATCACCCAGTCAAGAGTCAAGAGCAGCTAAGCCATTCACTGATATGTTCCTGGCAGATGGTATTTTATGGCTTTGAGGAGCATATCTAGTGAATGCTCTACAAATTTAAAGAAAACCTGGATAGCACAGGATATGACTGTGTTCAACTACAGCATTGGAGCATCTTAAACTCAGGATTCTGATCATCAGAATGATGGAGTTCCAAGATTACAGCCCAGGGAATGGAGGTTCACTTAGAAATGTATCGCCAAGCTTCATCAAGCAACCTTCCTACCAATCCCTCCAAACAGAGGCACTTCACTTCTTGCAGCCACCCTAATGAACTCCAAACCTTTGGAATGAAAGAGAAAATGTGAACTCGCTGGATTTTTTTTTCTGCAGAATCTATTGTTAATATGTACATAATGCAGCACTAGCAATACTGCAGTCTGCTTTCGCACCTTATTAAAAAAAATAGCACTTGCAAAAAAAGGCCTTTTATTAATTAATGGCACATTTAAAGCTCCAGGTTTGATCTTTCCAAAGGCTTTTCTGACATATGTAGCCTTGGAATCTGGAAATATGAATTAAAAAGGAAGGTAAAACCTCCCATGTACATTTCACAGATTGTTCTGAAGAGTGCTTGTCTTATTTGTGTCTAATCTGCTATGCTTGAAATCTGTGTGGTACAATAGAAGAAAATCTATTACAGATATATTATGCAAATTCCTAGGTTTTAAAGAAAAAAATTACCCTAATTCTAACCAGAGTAAACTTTTTTATTTTTTTATACAGTGGAATATTTTATTCAAAGTAAAATTCTAAAGTGAATATAATTGTTTCAAGTTTTTTATCTTTTCTACAGCAAATTTATAATTTTACAATTTAGTGTTTGGTTGTCAACAACTATCACATCTTTGTGGAACATTTCTTTTTTTCATTTTCTTCCTCTCTTGCTCTTCCTCTTTTTCTCTCCTTTTTACAATTTGTAAAGGTGAAATAATGAGTTTTATGTAGCAATCGAAGTATCCTGTGGATTGATAATAAATATTACATATAGCTAAATTTTAAATAAATACTTTGTCTACATTTATGAAATGACCAGAAATCATATAAGGGGTAAATTGAGAAATATTTTGATGAGCAACAAGCTTGAGCAAGGAGGAGTGAATGATGAATGTCTGGGCTAAAAAAATGTATTGAAAACACAAATATTTAACAAAATGCCATGGAATTCAGTCGGAGAATTATATTCAGCAGGTCCTGAAATAAAATGAATAATATTTCCTAGTTTTCAAACATGAAACATGTTAAATGGCCTCATGCCTCCTTTCAAATAAAATACTTCATATTTAATTTATGAATTGTTAAAAGTACACAATGTGTCATTTTTTTCCAGAATTTCAAATACATGCACTGAGGTTTGGGATACTTTGCAATTGAGCTGGAAAATCTTAAAGACATCATGAAATTCCTTCTGATTTCCTCACCACAAATAGATCCTACTGCTTTAAAGAAGGGCTGTGCTCCCACCCCAAATATCATGAAGCACTTTTTCAGAATAATTTTTGAAGCGCATCCTAGTTCATATCCAACTTGCCGATCAGAATATCTTTATACGAGTTTTGGAAAGTGTCAAAAGTGTAGAAAAAAGATTGTTAGAGCAACTTTAATGTTAACTGGTAGACAACATGGTAGCTTTAATTCTGAATTGTAATTAAACATAAAGGTTCTATAGGGTTAAGGTTCTGGTTATGATTCCCACTTATCCTCTATAATTGGTTTAAGAGATTAACCCAAGTATGGAGATGAGCAGCATCCAACACCAGCAAACAAATCTCAGGCATTAACAGTGGAAAATGTTTAAAGATACAGGAAGGACAGGAACAAATTAGATGAGACATAAAACATCTTCAAACTTGAAGATTATATTTGGTTTATTTTTAAAACCAGTAAAAACTTGAGACAAATATAGAAAATGCTTTTTATGAAAAGATACTTAGCCTAGAAATACTGAAGACATACAAAGGGTTTTGTCTGGTTAGTGAAATGGGCATCAGTGGTGGAACAGATGTTACAGGGCCAGTTTTAGAACCAATTTGGAAAAAGCACGGCTGTATGAAGAAAAGTAGGATTGCTCACACAGTGTTGGACATCTCCCATTCAACGATTGTTCTTTTGAAAATATTGCTTTCTTTGTTTGGTGCACCTCAAGAGATCTAGTGACAGATCTACCTTGTGCTTATACTGGAGTTATGGTTATTATTATTGTATATAATAATATATGGCAATTCTTGAAGTCTATACTGGCTTTTGACTATGCACAGAAATATTTTTCACATGAAATGGTTCCCGAATAGGGCTTGACAATCTCTGTGGTCTACAAGGATTGTTCTTTGGGTATCAAAAATCTCACAAGATTGCATTTTTGCTTGAAATATCATGTGATTTCAGCATACTTGCCCCAAACCTTGCAATATTGCATCTAAGAATACCAACATTCTGTGCGATTCAATGATTATGAGATGAGTAACTATATTTTTCTAAAAAATTAAAGATTTCATATTTGCTGTGATGTCCACAGCTATCATGCAGTCTTTACTGGCTTATTCACTCCTCAAAACCTGATAATGTAGCAAATCCACATAAATTCAAAGGCTAAGAATTGGTCTTTGAAGGTTTTTTTTTTTACAGAAACCAATTTTTAATTGAAATGTAAAACATCAACAAAACAATTGTTTCACATGCTTTTCTATTATTTTCTATTCATTTTAACCCGAACAATCTATTTGCATCAGGGCTCAAAGACAATTCTTTTGTTTCCCTAAAACATTAAACATGGTTGTAGATTGTTTTAGTCTAAATTTTAAAGTACATTGTTTTATGTCTAAATTTTAAAGTATGGTTTTTAACACTCCCCAAATAGGAATGTTGAAATAAAATTTTGTTTTGGAAAGTAGTAAAATAAACATGGTTGATTTAAGAAGTTCAGTTTGATTTGCTACCATTTGCTTTAATCATTTGTGGATAGATTAGAAACTGGTGTGGTATGCTAAAAATAAAATGCAAATAAGTTAAGAAATTGCAAACCTAGTCTTTCTTTGATCTGGCCATAAGTGTTGATACAATAGATAAGTGTTTCCAACTAAAATACAACTAAAACAAATTAGGACCTGATGCATGTACCATGCTGAGTCATTCATATGCTCAGCCAAAAGAAGTACAACACAATGCTGTTTAATAGATCACAAGATTCTAACCAACAATTCGTAGTTCAAAATTTCTTAAAATACTGTTGAGATGGAATAGTTATTATAATGCCAGTGATTTGTTTTTAATTAGTAATATAAAATATATATTAAAGCAGCTCTTGGAATTTAAGAAAGTTTATTCAATGGAACAAATTAATCCCAGGTAAAATAGGCTGGTGTGCCTTAATTTGTAGAAGACATAGGAAACTGAATTCAGTTTCCTGAATTCAGAGAAAGAGATATTTCATTACTAATTATTTTACCAGTTATTGGCAAAAGTGCAGCAGTCAGCAATATAAAAAGTTATATAAAGGGGCACAAATATTTTCATGTTATTTATTTACAAGAATACATCTGCTACAAATAAATAACACATAATTTTACTCCTATCGCTGATTTCTTTTTTCTTCCTCATGATTTCATTTACCTGTATAGAACAGAAAAAATAGTTTTATTTCCATTTTGTTCCTGTCTACATGAAAATATTTAATGAAGATCATGGTTGTTGAGTTTGACTAGAGAATAATGATACTGTATTTACTGCTGATGAAAACATGGTCATTGCATAATGGAGGTTTCAAATTGGGTTTGATTCCTGCTTGCCTTCCTGACCTATCTTTACAATAGCTCTTCCAAATCTATTATCATGGTTCCGACAGAGACGAATAAAGCAGAACTCCGAGATGTGCAAATTCCTCAAAGAACATGTTTATTAGTAACAAAGTATCAGCATAGTCAAGAGTGGAAACAAGTCTGGATTCACAAGTAACTATTTCTCAATACAAAGCTAAATGTCCCACCCATAAAACTATACAAGCAACTACGTTCCCCAATTTGATTATTTGGTGGGCTTTTTATGCAATACCCAGTCCCTAGTTTCAGGAGCAGCCAATGACCTAGGTTCCCACAGATAGAAGATTATTTTGACTAACGAAGCACCGGGGCAACCCCCGTCCCTCCGTTCTATGTGGCAACCTAGAATGAGAAAGAAAATGGTTGCAGCCATGCTCATTTGTAGAATTGACATCCTAATCTTTTTGATCCTTTTCATCTATCTCATCCATTGATTTATCACTCTTTCAACATTTTCAAACATAATTGTTTTTTCATCAGCCACCATCTACTTGCATCCCATTCCTGAAGTGCATGAGTTGTGCTTCTTTCTGGTTCTTAGTTTCAGGATCTTGTCTAAAATTGTCATTGCCTCTATGCCTGGGATTAGACAATAGCCCTTAACTGACTTTACCTGACTTTGAAAGAGGTAAATTTAAACAGGGCTTGTCCTGATTAGTAACTGGATGAGAGATCACCACTCCCAGAGATATGGCCCCGGTTGAACAGAAAAAGAGATCCTCCAGAAAAATCGCAGAAGGCATTAGCATGCTGTTTTGTATTGTTGCCAAGAAAGCTATACTATAGTTTTTATTATTCTTTCCCATCTTTATCAGTTCTGCAGCCTGAGAAAATAATATACTGCCTTAGGTTCTTCAGTTCAGTTGTAAGTTCATTAAACAAACCAATCAGCTTTATATTCTTAATAGACAGTAGCATAGACCAGTGATGGCAAACCTTTTAGAGACCAAGTGCCCAAACTGCAACCCAAAACCCACTTATGTATCGTCGGGTATCAGGTGGGCGTGGCCCATTGGGTGGGTGTGGCCCATTGGGTGGGCTTGGCTGCTGTGGTAACAGCAGACTGGGTGGGACTAAAAAGTTCAACTAATCAATTCCAACTTGTTGAGATCTTTTTTTTTCGCGCGAGAAGTTGAAATTGATTGATTGAACTTTTTTTTTTGCACACTGCGGCGGAGGCCTAAAGCGAAAAGATTTTATAAAACCCAGCTGAAAGCCTAGGACTGGGGCAACGGCACGTGTGCCCACAGAGAGGGCTCTGCGTGCCATCTGTGGAACGCATGCCATAGGTTCGCCACCATGGGCATAGACTTTAAAAAAAAATTCTGTGTTTATTTCATGGTGAGTTCTATCTCTTCACTTTTGTTTACAAAAACCATGTCTTGAGATCTCCAATTGTTAATATTTCAGCTTCCTGATTCCAACTGTCTTCTTTTCCAATCGGGCCACTCTTTTTTTTTTTTAATTAAATTTATACAGATAGCTCTTGACCTACAACTACTTGTTTGGTTACTGTTTGAAATTACTATGACACTGAAAAAGATGACATGACTATTTTCCCTACTTACAATTATTGCAGCATTCCCATGGTCAGGGGATCAAAACTTTGGGTGCTTGGCAACTGGCATGTATTTATGACAATTACACTGTGCCAGGGTCGTGTGATCACCATTTATAATCTTCCAGCCAGCTTCTGACAAGCAAAGTTAATGAGGAAGCCAGATTTGCTTAATGACTGCATGATTCACTTAATCACTGCAGCAAAAAAAGTCATAAAATGAGACAAAATCCACTTAACAATTGTTTTGCTTAACAATAGAGATTTTGGGCTCAATTGTGGTCGTAGGTCAAGAACTACCCGTATGCCACCTGTCTTATCTCACATGATTCTGAGTTACTTAAAATAGTATAAAATCATAGATATATAAGCATTAAGAGCATTAAAATTAAGTTTAACAACAATTAAATAAATAAAAGGTTAAAACAAGAGTGTGTATGGTATAGTGCAGGGATAGGCAACCTTGGCTCTTTTAAGACTTGTGGACTTCAACTCCTAGAATTCCTGAGCCAGCATTCCTGGCTGGCTTGGGAATTCTGGGAGTTGAAGTCCACAAGTCATAAACGAGCCAAGGTTGCCTACCCTGGTATAGTGCCTCAGATGAAGGGCTTTAAGCCTTTAAACACCTTGGATTAGACCTGGAAGCAGACTGGCAACCAATATGTATAAATATAGATATAATTTTTAGGAGTTTCTGGCAAATTCCTATAAAACAGAATTTGCTTGAGCTCTACACTCCTATTTCTTAACTATACTCTCAGTTTTTGCATATTCACCTTGAAAATAACTTTTATATTTGAATTGCTTTTGAAGAATTTTCTAAGTAGTTGAAGAATTTTCTAAGACCATCTAGTCATCTTAAGGGCCACTAAATCATTTTATTTTAAAAACATAGGTAAAAATCTAAACTTAAAAGTTATATCCGTTACATTTGTATTTCAGGGAACTCAGTTGTTTATGTAGCACACAGTAGTTTAATGTATCTTTCCTATTTTGTTTGCTGACTTTTGCTCTTCTTGTTCTTGAGTGTATTCTTATCAAGTTCATAAGTATATGTGTGTGCATGTTTCCCTGTTAATAGTTAATGAAAAGAAGAACATTTAAAAAAAAAGTCATGCTTGTTGAAGGACAACCTTATCCTATCATTTTGAAGAATGTACCAGGACTGCTCATTTATAGAATGCAGGACCAGAACATAATTAGGAAACTAGAAGTCAAATGGGTATGTACAACACACATGTGGCTGCTCATGATAACAGGTTTTTATCCATGCATATTAACAGTTCTTATAATAGTGGTAGTGTAATGGCAGAACATCTTAACTGCTCAGTATCATGTGGGATTACTGGTCAAAGTACTCGAATGTTTGGACATGATAAGCATTCTAGGAATTCAAAGAAGACATTCCTCAGACCATTTTAAGTCTTCTTGTTACTTCAGGTAAAAATATGTTGGATTTTTATTTGCTTCTTTGTTTTACATCTATAAACCTCTAGGCTATTCTATACTGTCCATAAGCTACAATAGTTGAGTTTACACAACCTACTATGCCAAAATTGAATAAACCATAATACTATGGTTTAGACTAGACGCAGTGTTTCTCAACCTTGACAATTTTAAGGCATGTGGACTTCAACTGGCTGTGGAATTCTGGGAGTTGAAGTCCATATGCCTTAAAATTGTCAAGGTTGAGAAACACTGGACTAGAGTAATGTGTGAACTCAGCATTAATTTATGATGATGCACTATAGTGGCTCCAAAATTTTCCAGACTAAAGCAATTAGCTCCAGCAGTTACTGACTAAAATCTATTACTCCTTTTTGCTGGAAGATGAAAAGAATTTGATGCTGACTCTACTCTGTAACAAAAGTTTATTTGCAATGATAAGAAACATATTCACATCTGCACAAAAACTATATTTGATCGCATTAAATCCAATTATTTTTCCCAAATTTAGCATATAAATAAATACCCAAGAAAGATATACATACTGTTCATGTTCTTTGGTAACTATTATTAAAAGTGATACTCATGAAAGTTAATAACTGTCACAACTAGCAACATTGACATCCTTATCTTCTGTAAATTTGCCTATACCCTTTCCTAGTGATGAATCTATTTTTTGTATCTTGCTAGTCCAAAGTACAGAAGATAGCACAAAATTACACAAAATCTTGATCAAACCTTTGTGTAATGTAGTATCATTGAGTTAGCAAAGTGCTGTCAGACATATTTATCTTTGCATTTGGCAGAAATAACACACCCAAGGACAAACTAAAGAAAAACTATGATTTTTGGCATGTTAATCAATACATTCCTTAATATACTAGAAAAATGATGTTCAAGATTGTGTAATCTGGACTTTAATGGTATTTGGAACAAGGGCTGCCAGCTGCACAGACTAGATTTAGAAGAAGCAGGACCCTCAGCATCACTCTGTAAAATCACCCTGTTGGATGGAGAAGGAAATTCCAAAACTGCATTTATTTTTGCTTTATTAATGATAACTACATCTTTTGATGTAGAGACGGCATACCAAATTTTAGATAAATTTTGAAAACTTGAATGCACTGGGTTATATTATCTGCCTACTGAAGAATTTGCACGTTGACAAGGCTACAAGAGTAACAACAGAAAATGGTAACTAAATAATTGAGAACTGTGAAAAGATTGCCCCAGGTTTGTGTCTGGTATTTATTTAAATATTAAACCCCTGGACTTTGGTTTATTTTCTAAGGTTTCTCTTCTTTTACTCAGTTTGATTTAAACTTTTGTTAAAGATATAGTTTATCATATAATAAACCTGAGATGAGATTAGTCTGCTCTCTGACGTGTAGAAATGTGAGATTTTAAAAAAGATATGAGAGGGATCTAGAATCAGTTGAGAATCCACCCTGGTTTATTTTGGATATTTATTGTTACTTTGTAGCCAAAATCTTAGTAATTTTATTTGATACAGATTTTGCTGTTGTTGCTTTGGTTAAATTGTTTTGTTACTTGATACTTCTTACTGTAAGAAAGAAAGATATACTGGAGTGACATATACAGGTAGTCTTTGACTTACAGTTACAACCATTTGTTTAGTGACTGTTTGAAGTTACAATGGTACTGAAACAAAGTAACTTATGATTGTTTTTCACACGACTGTTACAGCATCCCCATGGTCCCATGATCAAATTTTTGATGTTTGGCAAGTGGGATGTATTTATGACTATAGCAGTGTCCCTGGGTCATGTGATCATCTTTTGCAGCCTTGTGACAAAGTCAACGGGGAAGTCAGATTCACTTAACAACCGTGTTTCTAACTGAACAAATGCAGTGATTCATTTAACTGTGGCCAAAAAGTTGTAAAGTGGGGCAAAACTCACTTAACAACTGTCTTACCTAGCAACAGAAATGTTGGGTTCAATTTTGGTCATAAGTCAAGGACTACCTATTATTTACTAGACCCCAGTAAATAATAAATGCAATACAATATGATAGCTTTAGGAGGATGTTAGGGGTGCATATATATATATATATATATATATATATATATATATATATATATGTGTGTGTGTGTGTGTGTGTGTGTGTTTTCTGAGGTTTTCGCGGGTGTTTGTATGTAGGTCTTTGGTTGTTCGGGTTTTCTCCCGCGTAAAATTGGAAGTGTCTTGGCGACGTTTCGACGAAGTCCCATTCGTCATCTTCAGGCTGGTGTTTTCAGCTTCGTGCTTCGAGCAGCAATGTGTGGTCTTAGCTGTTTCTTCCTTTTAACTGCCAGTGGGGGTATGAACTGATTGGGTGGGAGCTTGGCTGTGTTCTGATTGGGTGGAGGTGTGTTCTGATTGGTTAGGGGCTTGGCTGTGCTCTGATTGGCTGGGGGGTTGGCTGTGCTCTGATTGGCTGTGCTCTGATTGGCTGGGGGAGTGTTCTGTTTGGTTGTGCTCAGGTTAGTCTGAGTTGCAGAGGGGTTTAAGATTTTGGGCTGCCTTGCTATTTTTTGGCTTCGCGTTTGTGGTCGTGCCTCATTTTCATGGAGGGTGTCAGTTTGCTTCATGTATGGATTGGGAGGGTTTAAAGTGGCTAATGATGCAGCTCTGGTCTGGCTTCTGGTTTGTGGTCGTGCCTCATCATCGGTGTGGCTTTGGGTTTGCTTTTTGCGTGGATGTGTGGTGGTGACATCCTGTGTGGTTTTTGTGAGTGTGGGTCTGGTATCATTTTTTGTGTTAGGGAGTCGTTTGTCAATAAGGGCGGGTTTCCAAATGGCTGGTAGGCGGGAGGTATCATCTCGCTTGTTCATGCTGTGTGGGCGTTTTTCTATCTCGATGGCTTCTCTGATTATTCTGTTATTAAAATGTTCACTTTTGGCAATGGTTCTGGTATTTTTAAAGTCAATTTCATGTCCTGTGGCTTTAAGGTGTTGGACCAGGGAAGATGTTGGTTCCTCTTTTTTGACTGAGTTCTTATGTTCATCGAAACGTCGCCAAGACACTTCCAATTTTACGTGGGAGAAAACCCGAACAACCAAAGACCTACATATATATATATATATAATATATATATATATATATATATATATATATATATGCAGGTCTTTGGTTATTCGGGTTTTCTCCCACGTAAAATTGGAAGTGTCTTGGCGACGTTTCGACGAAGTCCCATTCGTCATCTTCAGGCTGGTGTTTTCAGCGTCGTGCTTCAGGAGCAATGTGTGGTCTTAGCTGTTTCTTCCTTTTAACTGCCAGTGGGGGTATGAACTGATTGGGTGGGAGCTTGGCTGTGTTCTGATTGGGTGGAGGTGTGTTCTGATTGGTTAGGGGCTTGGCTGTGCTCTGATTGGCTGGGGGCTTGGCTGCACTCTGATTGGCTGGGGGGTTGGCTGTGCTCTGATTGGCTGGGGGAGTGTTCTGTTTGGGTGGGGGCTTTGTTGTGCTCAGGTTAGTCTGAGTTGCAGAGGGATTTAAGATGGTGGGCTGCCTTGCTATTTTTTGGCTTCGCGTTCATGGTCATGCCTCATCTTCATGGAGGGTGTCAGTTTGCTTCATGTATGGGTTGGAGGGGTTTAAAGTGGCTAATGATGCAGCTGTGGTCTGGCTTCTGGTTTGTGGTCATGCCTCATCATCAGTGTGGCTTTGGGTTTGCTTTTTGCGTGGATGTGTGGTGGTGACATCCTGTGTGGTCTGCACGCTCTCTCATACTACCACCCAGCACAGATCAACTCCGTAACCAAGACACTCATCTCCAGAACAAAACGCTTAGCTGACGAACAACACCTAAAAACCGAACTACACACTCTCACCAATGTACTAACATCCAATGGATTCCAAAGAAATAAGATTACAAACCTAATCCGAAAAGAAACCCCCACTAAAATCCAAGACAGAGAACAAGAAAACGGCAAAGCCCTCCTCCCATACATAAAAGGCACCACAGACAGAATCAGCAAGATCCTCCATAAACACAACATCAAAACAGCATTCTGCACAAACAGAAAAATATCCACCATCTTAAGAAACCCCAAAGATAAAATTGAGTTAGAAAATCAAGGAGTATATGAAATCCCATGCACTGCTTGTCCCAACACATACATCGGACAAACCAACAGAAAAATAAGCGCACGCATTGAAGAACATAGGAACTCAGTCAAAAAAGAGGAACCAACATCTTCCCTGGTCCAACACCTTAAAGCCACAGGACATGAAATTGACTTTAAAAATACCAGAACTATCGCCAAAACTGAACATTTCAATAACAGAATAATCAGAGAAGCCATCGAGATAGAAAAACGCCCACACAGCATGAACAAACGAGATGATACCTCCCGCCTACCAGCCATTTGGAAACCTGCCCTTATTGATAAATGACTCCCTAACACAAAAAATGACACCAGACCCACACTCACAAAAACTGACACAGGATGTCACCACCACACATCCACGCAAAAAGCAAACCCAAAGCCACACCGATGATGAGGCATGACCACAAACCAGAAGCCAGATCACATCTGCATCATTAGCCATTTTAAACCCCTCCAATCCATACATGAAGCAAACTGACATCCTCCATGAAGATGAGGCACGACCACGAACGCGAAGCCAAAAAATAGCAAGGCAGCCCAAAATCTTAAACCCCCCCTGCAACTCAGACTAACCTGAGCACAACCAAACAGAACACTCCCCCAGCCAATTAGAGCACATCCAACCCCCAGCCAATCAGAGCACAGCCAACCCCCCAGCCAATCAGAGCACAGCCACGCCCCTAACCAATCAGAACACACCTCCACTCAATCAGAACACAGCCAAGCTCCCACCCAATCAGTTCATACCCCCACTGGCAGTTAAAAGGAAGAAATAGCTAAGACCACAAATTGCTCCTCGAAGCACGAAGCTGAAAGCACCAGCCTGAAGATGACGAATGGGACTTCGTCGAAACTAAAAATATGATCCCTGGGTATATCC